TTATTATAGTATACTATTGTTCTAACAATATACCTTTCACGTTTGAACAATATAATATCACGTTATTAAAATATACATAATTATCACGTTCGTACAATATAAATATTATATTGTTCGAACGTGAAAGGTATATTGTTAGAACAATAAACTTTTCACGTTATAACGTGATATAACTCTATTTTTCTTTTGCCTGGGTGGCAGCTCTACGCTTCCGTACTCGGATGAGCGTGCCTCATCCTACAAGTTGTGTCTCCATCTCTTGTGTCCAGATCACACGCTGTGCTGCTCCACCTTTTCTCTTTCATTTCTGTGTTTGTGCGTGCGCAGTGTGAGAGGTGACAGGATTTCAAACAGGTTTGATTAGCTTGTGACCATACGATTGATGATTGGGAGCTGGTCATGAGGGAGGGAGTGACGAACTGCTTTTCGTTACCCCATATATACTACACGATGCACACACAATCCCCAAAACGGTTGCGCAACAAATCGTCTCAAAATGGGCCAAAAATCGCACAGTGTATGGGCAGCTTTTGGAGGTTAGCTCCAAACAAACATCTGCAGCTTGGCAGTGTATACAGCACTATAATGACCAGACCTAATTCTTTTGAAAACCTTACATCTTTCCACAGGTCTCAACTTCATCAGACATCACCTAGACTCAGAGCTGGATGAGGCCAGCACAGACAGCAGCCTAACCGTTGAAGATGATGGATCCATGGGGTCAGGAAAGCTAGAAGCAGGGGAGCTGGAGAGGTACCTTTCATGTCCATTCACTGGAGGTGTGGATCTATTGCATGGCGTTCCTCACATCAAGAAGCTGTCGATCAAAGTCAGTACAGCTCTTCCTGCATCTGGAGCTTGTGAAGGACTTCTCAGTCATGCAGGACTCCTGTTCACTGCTGAACAGTCACAGCTTCACAGAAAGAACCTTGAGAGCAAACTGCTGCAGAAGCTGAACCATCACCTCACTGAGTGAAGAAATGGCACATTTTTGCTAAATATGCAGAAATAGATGCACACCCATACAACTCATGGTAAACTGAGCTGCCTTGTATGAACATATGTTGAAGATGCCTCGTTCTGTTTTCTCTGAGGCTGCTGTGCCATTTGGAGCAAAAATGAATATAAAGTTTACAGCATATCTTGTCACTGGAAATTATTTGCACTGTTTATATATTTATATTATTTACTGTAGGTATTGGTGAAAAAAGCTTGTTTGAAAAATGTTGTGAAAAACTGAAATCTGAAAATTAGAATTGTTGTGCCTTATTTTGTTGATGTTTTTACATATATTCCTTTTGAAAATGGTTAAATTTGTATATTTATTTATTTTTGTTTGTCTGATATTTATTTATAAAATAAATCGGACATTTCAAACAGTTACTCGCTACTTGAGTAGTCTTTTCGCCAAGTACTTTTTTACTCTTACTTGAGTAACTTTTTTGACGACTACTTTTCACTTTTACTTGAGTAATAATATTTTAAAGTAATGCTACTCATACTTGAGTACAATTTTTGGATACTCGACCCACCTCTGGTTCTCTTAGTGAGAGACTATCTCTCCACCATCAGGCCGCTCAGCGACGCGTTCCGATGAAACGATCACCGGGGTCACGTCTGCACAGCTGTTTTATACGTGAGCTGTGGGGCGTAGCCGGGCGTGCCCGAGTGTCTTAAAGAAATATCCACACGCCACGACCAAAGGGGGTTGTACCGCGTACATATGGAATATGTAACGGTGTGGAGAGATAGTCTCTCACTAAGAGAACCAAGGTTTCACCGTAACCGTACGATCTTCAATAGATTTGATTAAAACAGGCTGGGAACAAGATTTAAATCAGTCATTGTCTATGGATACATGGTACAGTTAACTGCACATCCCTATGTTCCCGCCACTGTCTTTGGTTGTGCATAGGGTCCATCTCTCCAAAGTCAAACTATCTCGTATGTATCCGAATGTGAACCCCACTTAAGTGTGGGAGTGCGGAGGCTTCCCTATCCATATGTTCTGGACGTGCCCTAGCCTTGAAGGATTCTGGAGAGATATATTTCAAACCTTGTCCCTAATTCTTGGATATTATATGGATCCTAATCCATTATTTGCGCTTTTTGGCACCACTGGGGAGGCTGCACGCCTGACCGTTGTACGCTATCTTTCGCCTCCCTTGTAGGGGGCAATTCCTGAAATACTTTTCCAGCCTTCAGGTTGCGAACCTAACTTCCAGCATTACTCAGTAAATCCTCCCCCTTCTTTTTTTTTCTTCTTTTTTTTAGTTCTTTGTGTGTTTGTTTTATTTTGTTCTGCTTTGTCCTGTTGTATTTGCAATGGAGTTTTATTGTTTGTTTTTTCTGTTTTTGTTTGTTTATTTCTCTACCTGGCCTGAGGGAAAGGGCTACTATGTGGTATGGGTAGGGGGTAAACTGATAAAAGCAATTACAAGATATGTGAGTGTGTCATTAATCTGTATTCTATTATTTCAGTTCAAACAGTCACTGTGAAACTTACTTGTCTGTTGTTTAACAATTCTGTGTGTATCTGTTTTTCTTTGTTGTTTTAATTTAATAAAAGTATCTTTGAGAGAAAATATGCTGTCCACAGACAAGCCAATGACCTTTCAAAGTCATGCATCCATCCATCCATTCGCTTCCGCTTCTCCTTTTCAGGGTCGCGGGGGGCACTGGAGCCTATCCCAGCTGTCATAGGGTGAGAGGCGGGGTACACCGAGGACAGGTCGCCAGTCTGTCGCAGTGCCAACACACAGACAACCATTCACACTCACATTCTGGACAATTTGGATTTTCCAATTAACCTATCCCCACAAGCTGCATGTCTTTGGACTGCGGGAGGAAGCCGGAGTACCTGGAGGGAACCCACGCAAACACGGGGAGAACATGCAAACTCCACACAGAAAGACCCCGGCCTGATGGTGGAATTGAACTCAGGACCTTCTTGCTGTGCGGCAACAGTGCTAACCACCGTGCCACCGTGCTGCCACCTTTCAAAGTCATGCATCCAAAATATTAAATTAATAATGTAATTTTCACAGTTCTTCAATAGGAAATTCTTCTAACTAGTCCTTTTGATCATTTCAGCATTTCTTGCTTTATCCATCCATCCATTCGCTTCTGCTTCTCCTTTTCAGGGTCGCAGGGGGCGTGGAGCCTATCCCAGCTGTCTTAGGGCGAGAGGCGGGGTCCACCCTGGACAGGTCGCCCGTCTGTCACAGGGCCAACACATAGACACAGACAACCATTCACAACTATGGGCAATTTAGTGTTTCCAATTATCCTAGCCCCACTAGTCAGCTAACCTTTTACATGAAGTACTTTTACTTCTTTCTACACTTTGATATTGATCATGTCCATCAGTGGGAGGAGTCACTAAACAACCAAAAGCTTATGGCTGAGAATATATATCCATGTACTCATTAACCTATTGTTTACTGCTGCTTGTGTCCACAAGCACTCAAAGAGTTTATTCATATTGACCAATAGCATCTACAGTATCCTTTTAAAAAGCACGTCATGGAGGTGGACAACGGTGTCCGTATCTTCAAGTAAACTGTAAATTTGAGCTAGAAACTAAAGGCCAGTAATTGTACACAGGTTATTGAGAAGCACAAATATATATGCATCATGCTGTTTACAGCTTACATGTTGGAAAAGCTGCACAGCTGTATGTTTGCAGGGGGCAGGTGCACAGGCCCAACCCTCCATGATGCCACGCTACACGTACTTGAAAAGCACAAAGACAATACAAGCAGAGGTTGTATGGTAAGGATAATCTACTTTGTCCCAGCAGACAATTTAGCAGGCCAGAGCAGGAAAAGCAGGCGTATCAACAATATGGCTGCATTCCACTCAGGAAAGGTCCAGCTGTTTGGGATACGGGCTCCTGGGAAGGTTAAAGGAACTCAGCAGGAGAAAATAACAAATGTACATTCTGTACAATCAGTAGGTGTCAAAAGATGACTATAACTCAGCTAGTCACTCTAATTTGACCACCAGTATAGCCCCAGAGAGGGTTTGTGACAATAAGCTTGGTGATGATGCTTTAATGCTTAGGTTATTTGTTTTGCAAATACATGAAACTTGGCTCTAGAAGACCATCTCCTGGATCCAATCAAATTACATGAAACCCTGTTTATCACGTTTGTTGTTACAGGCCTTGTTGCGCTGCTGTGGTATCCCTTTGCAAATGCAGCATAGTGAAGGACACCTTCAAAACTGTAACGACCAAACACTGCAAGAGCTTTTCCCCCAAGCAGTCAGAGCCCTCAACTCACTACCACCAAAGATAAAACACAAACACCTTTACAGTACTCACCAAAAGACTCAAAAACAACACAAACTTCCACAAATCCACCACAAACTGGACCTGGGAACAATCTGCTTATTTGCACACTCAGTCACATAGTTACTGAACACATCTCAACTGTATTTGCACATTTTGTCTCCTGCACGTCTTCATCCGTTCTCGTCTACAATATCCTGACTCATAACTTGAACCTGGTATTCAGTACCTGCTGCACAATCCACTTCATATTGACTCTGTCCTGTCTGTGTTTATTGTACATAGATAGTTAGTAAGAGTACCTTTTTATCAATCATTTGTAATTCCTAGTTTTTATCTCTTGGAGATATATCATTTATACTCTTATAAATGCACCATGGGGGGCTTGGGGTGAAACAGCATCTCGGTACGCTGTATACTGTGTATACTGTTGTATTGACAATAAAGTTCTTCAATCTGAAAAACTGCAATAAATCACACCGACCTCAAAGAGACAACAGCCAATTCTTCACCAACATGCATGGAAATAGATTTATAGAACCTCCAACTAAAAGTGCAACTCGTGCTTTTAATCACACAGCCTTCAGGGGAAATGATAGCGCTTTGCTTAAAGTAGCTTGCTGTATAGTCTTTTCATGACACTGCAGGTACATCGTTTTTCCTAAATGGGGGCCAAACCCAAACAGATCACCAGACAAAGCATAGCTTCATTTTTCCACAATATATTTTTAATGAGAAATACTGAAGACCTCGTCAGTCAGACCAAGTGATAAATGTAGTTTTCAGTAACGTCTGTTAAAGAAACCAGCTGACATTTTACTACATCACATCATGTCAAACGAAAGGATAGAAATGTGCTGTTAAAAATTTATTGACTCAACATCTTTAAATGTACATGTGTGGCATCAGCTAACATATATACAGACATGTTACCATATGTTGTTTCAAAAAGAGGACACTCTTGCTCTCTTCCAAGTTTAGCACAGTTAACTTGAGTGTGCACCACATACACATTTGCTTTGGGCAGTTTTATGGAAATCAACGTCTACAACCTGGAACCCTGAGGTTTACTATCACATTACTCAGACAAGCAGTATGAAACAGAATGACAGACTCATTTCGGTGGTAGTTTACTGATAATAGGGCCGATACCGGCCCTGATCCGGATGGTGCGGACCAGGCATTTGGCCCTGGGGAGGGGGTCCCTGCATTCGTGGAGGTGGGGGTCCTCTTGGGGCGGGCCACATCCCAGGACTGAGCCCTCCTGGCTGGGTGAAGGGGGGACTGAGGGTACCCTGGTCTTCAGGGAACTGCTGCATGGAGTTCGGGTTATAATGATGAGGTGGTGGGGCATTAACAGGAGGGCCGCTATGCTGTGGTGGAGGTCCTGGGGGTGGGTGATTCATGTAAGGGGGTATCATGTGCGTTGGTGGAGGAGTAATAGGTGGGGGCGCTGTGGACATTGGGGGAGGAGGGGCCTGGTTGTACACCATGTGTGGTGTCCCAGAGGCCTGGGGAGGATGCTGCATTGGGTGGGTAATGGGAGGCGGCGGGGGAGGCGGGGGACCAAAATGCTGTTGAGGTGGTGCCATCATGTGGTGAGAGTGTGACACTACGGGAGGCTGGCCAGGATAGTCCCCGGGGTGGTGGTGGGGTGGCTGGCCAGGGCCTGGCCCAGCAGAGAGGGGCTCGCGAGAGGAAGAGGAGTCGTCTTGAATGGGCACAGTGATGAGATTACTGTGTTTACGAGTTGTTACCGTGGCAATGCGGAATGTCTCAGGACCCAGAGAAGGAGTGGGGGGCGGGCCTTCGTGAGCGGAGGGAGGTGGCGGCTGACTGTAAGGATCGTGGCTCCCGTGCTGAAGCGGGTTGGTGAGATGGACGTGGTTCTTGGGTAAGTGAGGTGGAGGCAGGCGGAAACGCTCAGATACATCAGAAGCAGGGGGCAGGTGCACGGGCTCCTGGCGGCCCGCAGAAGACTTGGCAGCCCTCATGTGGCGGTGGTTGACGTGGGCCTGGAGGTCACGCTGAGACAGGTAGGTGCGCTTGCATCCTGCTACAATGCTGCACATGTAGAGGGAACCACGTTGGCACTGTTCAATGCGCTGAACCGGGTCTGTGCAGTTATAGAGGGTCAGGCTGAAGAAACACAAAGTCAAACAGCTCAGTTATTTTGTTTGACAAGATCGCTTTTGATCTAATCAACCTATTTTTGGACAGTTGGAATTCACAGCACTCACAGAGAATATGCAAACTCCACACAGCCTGTTCGTGGCTTAAACCACAGCTTTTTTCATGAGGCCACAGCTCCAACCACCATACCGCCCCAACTGGTCAATGTGGCCCTTTCCACTGGTACCTACTCACCTCGACTCGGTTTTCAGGGTTTTCCATTAGGTGGTTGTACTAGGTGCTTTTTCAGTCCCTGCTCAGCCGGGGTTGCAGTGAGCGGAGTCAATGCAAAAACCTCTGTGCCCTCAACAGATTGCATGCCACTGACTGTCCAGTCTACAGCGTCACTCGCTGAGTTATAGGAGCAACTCCATCAGAAAAATCAAAACTGCCATTTTTGAAACCTGGCAACATTATGAAGGCTGCGCGAAAACCGACTTCATGGCCCTTAAGCCTGACGAGAAGCCACAGGCTGAGCAGCAGGTATACCATTGCAATTATTGAGCTGAATTTGTGTCTCATACAAACAATGTCACAGAGTTTCGGACACATTGCTACAACAACCCGTGTACACTGAGGTGTGACTCGGTTGTAACAGAAAAAGACCAAAACACAGTTGAGTGGAGCTGAGTAGATACCATCTCTATTAGCCCTGTCCAGGGTGTACTCTGTTCAGCCTATCACAGCCTGCATGGGCTCCAGCCTCCCTACAATCCTGAACTGGATGCTGTAAGTGGTGCCTTTAGTTTTCCTTGCTATCAGTTTTCCCAGGATGAAAAGAATGCTCAGTAGGCAGTATTTCTACGAGCTCAGCAATAAAATATTGGCCTAACACAAAGAACCGTCTTCAATCTGGTTGAGGAGGTAGGTGGAAAGACTTTAACTGTCAGAAAGAATGATTCAGAGTGCTTCGTGCACCTGGCAGTGTGGGTGTCAATCTACACGACTGCAGGTTTTAACAGATTATTCGGGTTCCCCTTTCACTTTTACAGGACAAAAGATTTTCTTGAGGTCCCATTCCTCACGTCACTAAGGCTATGTCCACACTAGCCTGGATAGATTTGAAAACGCTCCGCGTCCACACTAGTGTTTTCAGTCGTTCTCAGAGTTGTGCGTCCACATTGAAACATCTGAAAACGCTTACGTTCCAGTCCTGCGCATGCGTGAAGATTCGACCTGCCTCATTTCTGTCTGCCGCTTATTTACTTTCCGGCTCTTTAAAACGTGGCGACAGAATGTGGAGGAAAAGCAGCGAGTTTTTTAAATGGACTAACAATGAGGTGGAGTTGTTGCTGCGAGTAACACAAAAGTACAAAGTTGCAAAAGCAAGTGAGAAGTAAAGAATTTGAAGAAAAGCTCTCTGGAGCAGGTACAGACTGATATTAATCTTTAACAGGGTTGTCAAACAAAACAACTGCTGTATAATGCCCTCTGCTATCTTAGTTTAATTGGTCACATGACTGCATCACATGACCAACACTAGAGCTGGGCGATAGAACGATAACGATATGTATCGCGAAATAACTTTTTCTCAATAGAAAAATTAAACTATTGCGATAGACCTCATCTCTCTTGTCCTCTTAAAAAAAACAGAAGAACAGCCAATCCAAATTAAGTAGCGCAGAGCCGAACCAATCACAGCCGCAGCGTCACGTCACGTGACTTGTTACGTACAGCACAAGTGCCAAGCCGCACATGTGTATTTGTTTGGGAAGCAGCCAGCCGCCGTGCCGCCCGGGTAATGGAGGAAATGAGTGCGCCGACTAGAGAAAAATCAACCGTGACCGAAGGACCGAAGAGAAAACAGATGATGGTTCCAATGCCGGAGAGATTGTCGAACGGAAGAGCCACAGAAGTTCTGTAGTGTGAAGGTATTTCGGCTATTTCAAGTCTGACAAAAACAGAGTAGCGCGCACTGTAATTGTGCCGAAAGCAAGTCTGGAAATACAATAAAGCGGTGCATGCTCAGTCTCTGACTGGAAGCGCTAATTCGGCTTTTGTCAGACTAAAGTAACTGTTAAAACTGTTTGAAAAGCTCAGCTATACAACAAGGAGAGATGGAGAATTTCCTTTTAGTTCTCAGTTTATTTGATATTGACAAAAGTTAGTCAATTTTGTTCTTCTGTAAAACAAACTAAGATTTATTTTTAGAATTAATATTTTGTTTCTAAGTGGAATTGACAATTTAGTAGTTTTGTTTGTTCTGTTTTGAAACTTAAACGCTTTAGCGGCTGCCTTTTGTGTAGTTTGCAATATTTGCCTTTATTTATCTGAAAAAGTCTCATGTTCCTTAAGTACATCTACCCTGTTGAACTTATTATGGGAAATAAATATTTAAATCAAAACAAGCTGCTGCTTATTTCACATTTTACTCGTGAGCAACGGCACATTTAAATCTTACAAATGTAGTTATTTGGCTTATATCGTGATATATATCGTTATCGCCTGAAATGAAGAAAACATATCGTGATATGAAAAAATCTTATATCGCCCAGCTCTAACACGCATCATCGTTTTTGAAAGTCTCTGTTTTCGCTGTCCACACTGTGACACAAAAGCACCGTTTTCAAATGTATGCGCTTTCGAAAGCGTTTTGAAAACGCTGCGTTTTCCTTGAGCAAGAACGCCGTTTCAGTGTGGACGGGAGGCCAAAACGGAGAGAAAACAATGCGTTTTCAAACAAAAACGCATTGTTTTCTCTCCGTTTTGGCCTCCCGCATTAGTGTGGCCGTAGCCTAAATCAGGGACATCTTAGTGGCTTTATACTGTAGTGATTTTATGCCCCTGCTGCTCAAAGTACTTGCAGGAGTCGACTTTTCTGGCATCCAGCCATCCTTATTTTACTCTCATTGCCATGTACCAAAGTTAAATGGTCTCACCCTGGGCACATCTTCTCTCCTTTCTTCTCATGAAGTAGAGCACAGTCATAACAGAAAACATGTTTGCAGGGAATCTGAGGAGTCAAATTGGCAAGAGTTAGACAGTAACATGACTCTGAGATGTTGTGCAGAGAAACAGCAATAAGACATGTACCATCCGTCCATACAGCTGAATAGGGAGACCGCATTTGTCACAGAAGTGAATCGGAACGTCATCCTTTTCTCCAATCAAGTTTAACTGTTGAAATAAGAGGACACACAAATATGACACGCATGTAAAGCCAGATAATTGTATCCTTTTTCTTTAATTTCAATACTACACGTCTTACTGGCGTGCCAGATGCTGGTAATGATGCTACTTAATCATTAATATTGTTTCCCCTCACACAGCAGACGTACCTTATAGTCCCAGAACAACGGTTGTGGAAATCTCCTCTGACTTGCAAACACATCACCAGCTTTAGTTCCACAGTCAAACCTGTCCTCTTGCTTAAAGCCAAAGTTATCTGTAGTAGAAAGAAAAAAACAAGAGTAGCATTAATAAAACAGTATTTAAAACAAACCTGACACTTCAGCTTTTCCCAAAGAAGAGGGCAAGAACATAGCATAGTGTCACTATCCAAAGGAGCTTAAAATATTCTGTGTATAAGACAATTACATGGAAACTAAAATGAAAGGTACAAATAAAATCTAAAATGCTTACTTGATGCTGTCCTCATCATCGACTTCATGATTACTTTGTTAAAAAAGAAGAAAAAAAAGAATCAGCATCGGTATGGCAACAACAAACTTCACATTGGCACATATTGGCTACATTTAATAACATCTAAACTGAATTTATGAGGAAAATAACAAAAAGGACATCCATCTTCTTTACTGTGTGCAAGTGCCGCAGTTAATCCTTACACAGCATGATGACATATGGCAGTAGGCTGTCACAGTGCTACTGTGTGCCAACATATGATATCCAGACTGGATGACTGTAAAAGCATCAATAATACATGTGTTACACTTTCTGTTAAACTGATACTGTTGTGATGTATTGTAATTGATACGCCACGACAGGTCAGGCCAAGAATAAATGACAGTTGTGAGCGACAGAGACAGCTTTACAAAAGTACAACAACATACAAAAATGTTTGAGATCCTTTTTTTGAGTATTTTGTATCAAGTCCAAATAACAAAGATGAGCCAGCAAATATGGATAAACTGTGAGCTCTATCTGCCCAAAGAAACGTTCAAATCCAACTACCACTGCAAGTGTCACTGCACAACAACTGGTAAAGAAAGATGCCCACATGTCAAACTGTAAGTCTGTTGCTACCACTGGCACATCCTCTCCGTTCAGCCCACGAGTACGTCACTGATACCTGTGTAACACATCAAGTCTACAATGACTCCTACCACCAAAAGAAAAAAATAACGTTTTTTTCTCCACATAGATACTTAATATACTGCATGGTGGCTCCGTTGTGTAATGTTTTTTACATTTGCCTAACTTGTGAAACATTCCTGGTTCAGGGCGAGGAGGAGAGACAAAGCACACTGTGGGCAGCCAAATCAAGGGTGCAGCCCAACCCACTGGAGTGGGGATGAAAGAAACGTCTACTCCATATCCTGTACATATATCCCAGTGAAATGTGACAATCATATGAAAAAGGAATACATCCCAAAATAGGGCTGTGCGATATGACCAGAATCTCATCTCCCGATATAAGACATCTATCGTCCGATAACGATATAAATCACAAAAATGTAACATTTTCTGTAACTTCTGTGAATCTCGGGCAGCTCGACTTACGTGAAGTGTTTCCAGCTGGGCGTCGTGTAGCTGGAGTCGAGTGTTTTAACCGATGCATGAAACGATACATTTTTAGACAGAAGTTTTAACGGCCGCCGTTTTCTTTGTGAGTATTTATTACACGGCGTGCTGCGGGGAAAAGCCTGTTCTAACGTTTGAGTCTAAGGTTTATTTCTTTTTTACTTCTCATCTGTAAATAATCTGCTCTTTCACGTGATTCAGTTTATTTTGAAAAGTCTCAACAGGATCTTGAGCTTTATTGTGAAAGGTTTATGTGGAACATAAACAAGCGGACACGCAATGGTTTTACCGTCGTTGTTGCTAACGACAACGCATAAAAACAGGCGCTTGTCCGTCTGTAGAGTGGTTATATTAAATATAAGAGAAAGAGAGAACTTAAATTAATAATAACTACAGTGTCCATCAAAACATGAAAAAATATTGCCGTAAACAGTTTATTTTACGAGACCACGAAACAAACGATAGTAAAATGAAACGATAGATGTTTTTATATTGTCATCAGATATATATCGTTATATCGAACAACCCTATCTCAAAACTTATATGGCAGAAAAGGAACTCCATTATTTTCCAAAGAGGAAAGGTTGACCTTTACAAACACCAGCTGAAAGACACCAACAACAATGCATTAGCTACTTTAAAAACTAACCAACAAAGAGTTGAATATCATTAAGCATGCTATGTTTATATACTTTACAGGCAGAAGTACTAGGCTACCTACATATTATAGCTGCTCAGCCACAAAACCCACAGTGCAGAGTTTGTGCTGGTGTTAATGGAACTCGGCATTGGCATTTTTTTTTACAAACCATGCACCTTGGCACTGCTTTGTAGCTTTATGTGGGCTGCAAATGTAAGAAACATTTCATGAATTGACTTGTTTCAACTGCCACAATATTTTTACAGCTCCACTCTTGAATTCAGTGAATGACCATGTTTGTAAAGGCAGCTAGCTATTCAAATTTATATACAGTGGCAATAGGATTGAAAAAGTTTTGATTAAGAGGTGTGGCCCAATACTTTTGCCTATACAGTGTGACATCATAAAAACATTAGTGCTAATGAGCATTTTGTACCACATAGTGTGCCTACCATCTTCTCCAGGCTCACTTTTACAAGTTCTGCTGACAGGTCTCTGGGGGCGCTGCTGAGGTTTGCTCCTTATTGGCTGCTTGGACAGAAGTTTGATGGGGATTCGTCTGCGAACATCCGGGCCTCCCAAACTCCCAGAGCCATCGCTTCCTTGAAGATCATTGTCTGTGGAAGAAAAAGAGTATATCAACTGAAACAGACTGCTATATGTTGTGCGCTGTACATTGGACAGTTACAGAGTTAGTGAGGGATACCTCATGTGGTGGACTCAAGAGCCACACCAAAATTTAACAGTTACACATATCCATCTACAAAGAGTTGTTTTTAAAGCCTTTAGGACGTCACTGGATTGTGACAGTGCTTGTAACAGAGTCCCTTGCCCGTTCACATTGGTTACATAGATTACAAATAATTTCATTCTGGAATTAGACTTTATGGTGAAACTCAGTGACTCATAGGTTAAACAGGATGCTTCTTTTTCTGCCGGCTTCTTTTTGGGGTTGCCACAGTAGATCATCTGCCTCCGTCTCATCCAATCCCCATCTTCTTCTATCACACCAACCTCTGCCTGGCAGCTCCATCTTCTGTCCCAGCCTTGCCTTTGTCTCCAAACTGCTCAATATGAGACATCTAATGCTGTAGGTGTTGGCCACTCCCAATGAAAATGTTAACATCTTTAGTGGACTACCATCTTGTAACTCTTCCTTTCACTCGCACCATTATTATTCAGTAACAAATCATCTTTGACACTCATCTCCACCCTGCATGGACTCTCTTTGCCATTCTTGTGTATTGCCCGTTGCTCTGGATGGCTGACCCCAAATATACAACTCATCCACCTTCATTACGTATACTCACTGCATCTTCACCTTTCCACACGCTTCATTCTCATTCACACACAACTATTCTGTCTTGATTCTACTGACTGTCATTCCTCTTCTGTCCAGCGAATACCTCCACCTTTCCAGGCTTGACACCTTCCACCTGCACCCACTCTCACAATGTCGCCTACGACACAGAAACTCGTACCTGTCCCTTAGCAAAGCCACAACAAGCGAGGAGGAGCTCAGAGCCGCAGATATTTATAGTTGGTAATGGTTTATAACTTTAGTGACATTGCAGTAGTATAAACAATTGGAAATTAGATTAAGAACGTTAGCGTTTCGCCTTTAATACTATCAGCATATGTATGTGGGTTAACAGTCAAGAGACTCGTTATAAGATATACCGTTTCTTTATACAGCTAAGTGGTTAGCATATGCTAACAATCAAGCCGCATTCGCGCCCCAACTAAATCGCAGCTAGCCGTAAACCCACTAACATGTGAGAATATATCGTTTGCAGTTGTGCTTAATAATTGAATAAACTCTGGTGGAACATTTCGTGTAACCCTCCAGACCAACTTAGGACGTAACATTAACTTTTGGCGAGAAGTACTCAAGCCTTTTTTGGCTAGCCCGCACCATTCAAGCTTTAACGTTACCCTGGGAGATTACGGGTTAGCTTAGCAAAACCACTTTCCACGAGGGGGCTTTGTAGTCACGTTAGCTCTTAGACCTGGTATGAAAACGGCTACGCAGGTTTAAAATATATATATATAGCATGAATAACAAGTTTTGCTAACGTCTCGGCCCTACTTTGCATTTTGCTTACCGCTTTGGTCCATGATCCAACGAGTGACCGCAATGCATTGTGGGATACGAGAAACTGACGAGGAGAGGAGGTGAAGTGAAAGGGAAGGAATGAGGATAGGAAAGAAGGAAGCGAAAGAAGGACGACCCAAACAGGGTTAAAAAATTAAGAGCTAAAAATAAACTGTAGTTAGTTCACGTTAAAACCAACAAAGAAAAACAACCGCGCGTTTATTATGCTCTTGTACAGTCGGCCTAAATGGCTGGGTAACAATACTGAAAGTAAAGACGGACGTCGTTGTCATTTCATCAGACAGAAACGATTGTCCATTTGTTTTCTGTATCGACGCAGTTCTTCCTTTATGTTTATGCTACTACCTGCCACAGGTCACATCCGGTCAGTCCTGAGAGTGACTGGAAAATCTGAACGCTTGGACTTTCTATCATATTTCATAAACATGTTGCTCGTAAAGTTCAGGTTGTTATTTATCCACTGTTTACATTGTTTTAGCAGAAAAAAAGTTAATTTTATCCTTAATAAAAAAAATATCTGCTGCCATAGTTTAAACACTTGTTAGATCATCCAACATGCGCTGTCCATGCATATTTACTTATAATTAAGCTTGTTTCCCAGCTGAACTAATTCACATTGTTTTATAGTTTCTAATACATACTTCGAGGAGAATATTTGTCTAAAATGAATGTCATCAAACACAGAAAGAAGGTTGCATTTGACTTTCATTGTAAACTGCTGCACACTCAGGAAAAAGTCCTGAGTGTGCCCATATGGGTTTTATTTTGCTAGTAAGTAAAGTAAATTTTATTTATATAGCACCTTTCAAGATAAAATCACAAAGTGTTTCACAGAAGCTAGAACATAAAACAACATCAGCCAAAGGCAAGTTTAAAAAGAAGAGTTTTAACTGTTTTTTAAAACTTTTTAAAACTGACACAGATCTGAGTGAGAGAGTTCCAGAGTCTGGGAGCCACAGAAACAAAAGCTCTGTCACCTTTTGTTTTAATCTAGTGTGCTGGACAACCAGCAAGACCTCAGGGACCTGCTGGGAATATCAGGATGAGGAAGATCACTGATGTAAATTGGAGCCAGTCCGTGCAGTCCTGAGGGTCAGGATTATAATCTTGAAATGGATCCTGAATTTAATGGGGGAGAACCTGGAAGCCTTGGTCAACAGCCTTGCAGCAGGATTTTGAACACCCTGCACACGTTAACATGAATATCCGAGGACAGAGCTGAGTCAGATGTAACACCAAGATTCCTAATAGAAGATTTAACAAACGCGAGGGGGCCTAAATGTTTTAATACCAAAGGTACAAATTTATCAGGAGCAAAGACAAGGACTTCAGTTTTCTCAGCATTAAGTTGAAGATAATCATCAGCATTCCAACCTCTGATAGAATCTAAGCATCTCTGCAAGATTAGAAGTTTAGAAACATCATGTGGCTTAAAGCAGATATATAGCTGAATATCATCTGCATCTGATACGAAATGTCCTTAAAAGTGCTGAGAAGTTCCTGAAGAGGGAGTAAATATAACAAAAACAGTACAGGTCCCAGGACACAACCTGTGGCACACCAAGAGAGGTGAGAGAGGACCTGAGCTTGGAGGTAGTCACAGAGGAGGATCACATAGATTTAAACCACTCCAAGGCCGTTCCTGATATATCCACCCAGTGTTTTAGTCTATCTAACAGAATATGATGTTCGACAGTATCGAAGGCAGAGGTCAGGTGCAACAACAGAGCAGTGCACTCAGCATCATAATTCATCAGTATATCACTGGACACTCTAAGAAGTGCAGTTTCAGTGGAATGAGCTCTACGAAAACCAGATTGGAAATGATCAAGAATGTTATGTTGATCAAGAACCGCTGTGAGTTTCTTGGCCACAACATTCTCTAAAATCTTGGCGATAAATGGTAATTCTGAGATGGGTCTATAGTTGATAAACAGAGAAGCATCAAGTTCGGGTTTTTTAACAGCACTTTTACAAAAAACAGGCACCTGACCAGAAAGCAGAGAGGCATTGATGAGTGTAAGCACACTAGGACCAATGGACTGAAAGACCTTTCTAAACAAAGGTCCAGATAAAACATCAAGAGGGCAGGAGGACGAGTTCATTGAATCAACTAATTTGACCAGCTCAGGTAAGGACACTCAGAACTAATAAAGTCAATGGTTAAGCCTAAAGAACAAACGAGGTGTGTGTCCTTTGGCATGTGTGGGGCCAGACACATGTGGTGTAAAATGAAAGTAGTAGTAGAGAGTACAGATTGTACAATTCTGAAAACCCTGCAAGTCAGTATCAGGTATGAGCACCTTTAATCTTCAGCACAGACGGTTGCTCTTTTAAGCAGTTTTCTTGTCCAGGAAGATCATTGATCTTATTTTATTTCAGACATAATTAGTCCATATCATTAAAATAAAAGAAAAGCACTCTTCTTTGAATGTTGGCCACTTTTTGTTCCATTTTCTAACAAGATAGTCTCAGGCTGCTTCGATAATGTTGAATTCTTCGGAGGTAAATCTAATAGTGCCATTGTGCATGTCTCAAGTGCACTGGAAGCAAAACGTAAATAAACGAAGTGAGACTCCGAACTGCAGCCAGGATACACTACAAAGCAGAAAACCCGACTGGTGTCAAGTCTTTATTGTGCATTTTCCACCGATTGTTTTAAAATTGCAGAATGATCTTGCCTGTAAATGTTTATTAGTTAAAATGCAATTAAATATAAACGGCACTCTTCAGACAGCAGGTTTACAGCTGCAAGTTTTGAAATAATATGTATCTCATGTGAAAACGAGGACAGTTTGATGTGTGATAGCAGTGTTGCATCACTCAGCGCTTTAAGATGTTTTGGAGAGCTCGGTGCACTGTCTCAAGTCGAGGCACGTCCCCGACGCGCGCGCCCGTAGCCATGTCGCCATTTTGATTCGAAAAATATGACTGAGTTTTTCCTGCTTTGCGTGCTAAACTTAGCCCCGCGTTTGAATTACTTTGTGTGCGAGTACGTATCATACACTTTTAATTTGAAATAACTCGGATTGTTATTAACACCACGTAGTCATTCATGCGGGGGAACAGTTTATTTTGTAGTCTTCTTAGCCACATTTGACTATCGTTAGCTAAGTTGAGCTAGCTAACGGCGGTCTGTGCTGTCGCAGACTGACCCCTTCTTCAAAACAAATCACTATTCGCTCACAGGCTAACGTATGTTAGCTCATACGGCTAGCTAACAGTAGCTGGACAGCTAGTGATTTAGTAGCTGGCTGCTTAACGAAAAACAGCAACAACTCGGATCACACGGAATTACTCGCAACGGACATTCAACCAAAGGTACGTTTTAACCGGGAATTCTTATCGTGAGTTTGAGCGTAGAGCTAATCTTAACCCTGCTGCTGCAGCAGCGACAAAGTTAAACCCAAGTTAGAGAGCTATTTAAGTTGGCCGCTCAGTACACGTTAACCGTTGGTAGCTAATTAGCTTATGTGCTAATCAGAGAAAAGGAGGAACTAACCTTAGCTGAGTTGTTCCCCAACTTTAGAAGTTGGTGTCTAAATATCGTGAATTAACACTGATCGAGATACCAGTGCTGGTCTATCGGCTAACTTCGCACAAGGACTCAGTAATGGCTGTTGGATTACTTAATCGATGTTAATGTAACATAGTCGTTAACTGTTAATGTTTAGTCCCGTCGACGTTAACAGAACTCATTTTCTAACCGATACGTGTCTTTAAATGCTGCATGTGTTTTTTATAGCTCGGTAACTAAAGAGCCAACGTTACTTTAGGGGTGTTCGTAGTCGGCTGAGGCCAGCAGCAACGCAGACTTACTGAGTTGGAAGTAACTACACACTCTGTAGGTGAAGTTGTAGTTTAATCTTTCATGTTGGAGTTACTGGTGACTTCAGCAGTGTATGTGCTGTAGCATCGATCCCATATTAGTCTGGTATCATTTGGGCATTTGTGCCCTCCTCTGGAGTTGAAGTAAACAGAAATCTGAGCCCCCACCGTCAGTCAGTTGATGTGCATTTCATGCCAGTGCTGTGGAAGCTCAGCTTACATGTCTTCAGTTACACACGAGTGTCTCTTATTGTCAAACAATCTTAAGAAATCACTTCAGTTACAACAGTTTATAAAATGTGGCGCGTTACCAAATCCCCATCATGTGATCAAAGTCTGAAGCCATATCATGGTTGATGGCTGACAAAGGTACTCCATAATGTCAACTGTTAACTTAAAATATTTTGGGACCATCGCCTGTATTAGATATGTCTGGTCAACTTAAAACGTTTTTTACAGCTTCAGTGCTTTAAAATGCAATTAAGCAGCAAATTGCAAAAACTGCAGCTTCTGTTTGCCCTCTGAAGTGTGCGGATTGGTTAATCATTTGGTAGCTGGTGTCACAAGGTTTCTAGTACAACCCAGTGAACACTGGTTCGCTATCAGCTGGACTTTTATTTACATTCACAGTGAGTAAAAGGAGAGTTCATGGCAACAGACAGGTGGGATTCCCTTTCGCTTGATTGTACAGCTTTTTTTTAACTCGCCTAATTACAGGCTGCCGTTGGCTCGCATTATCCACATGTGTGCCCTTTGTGTGCCATTGTTCCTTTTTTTCCATCATCTCTTACATGTGCCAGGAGACTGTTTTTGTTGAGGTTGCCTCTGGTTTGTTCTATTTTGGATGTAAAGTCAAGCATTTGCTTTCTGCTCGGTGTCCACAGGGAGCATTCAGCGGGTTATTATTGCGCTTGTGTACTCTGTAAATGCATGCCAGATGGACGCTGCTGCTGCATGTGCAAAGATCCTCCTCAGGAAAATGGGAAAAGAAAAAAGGGGAAGCACTTTGATTTCCTCCTGTAGTTTTACTTCCATGGTCAACAGTTAGATCAGTTGCACTGCCCGCTGAGACACTTTGGCTTTGACAAAGTCAGCAGATGTAGCTGTTTTGTGTCTCTGCTGGTGTGTTAGGTTGTCTAGATTAGCTACTACAGTAACTGCATGGGGGAAAAACAAAACAAACAGCCTGGTCACAAAAGCATTTTGTACTTTATTTATTTATTCTCTTTTTTTAATGGATTCTAACAATATGTTACATTGAGCTGTTACACCAGAGAAGAGGGGGGAGTTGACCTAAGCAGTCAACGTGTAGAGTAATGAGCATGCACACAGCATTTGTACAAGGTGTTACTCTGTCATATATAGAAAGTCAAAGTGGTGGATTGCCAGATAGCCACGGAGAAGTCTTCAAATAACGAGGTCAACTTTGGTACAAGTAGAGCTGGGCGACATGAAAAATAATCTTATAACAATATCTCGCGCTGTTCCCTGTCAGTTGGTATTGATATAAATCACTATTTATGCTCAACTTAAAGCTTAAAGCCTTCTTTTTACTCTTGGTGATAATATAGGATTCATTTTAGTTTAAATATTAGTCATTTTCTCTCAGAAGTTGAACGTAATAACAACTTTATACAACAATATTTTATCTAACATAAGTATCTAATAAACTTAATTGTAATTCTCACAAAAGCAAAAGAGATAACTCACTTCTTCAGTTCAAATAAATAATGTCTCGTATTTATATTGAGAAACGTCTTTACTTGGAAAAAGCTAACTTTGTAGCTGCTGCCAGACGCCACAATTTGTTTTACACAGTCAAAATAAAATATGCAGATGAACCTTTAAATTAGTCTGATATGATGTTTAATTCAGGCAGCTTGTTACCAACCGCCCTGCTTTATATGGCAGTGATACCTGTAACAAGAAGGAGTGAGTATAAAGGGGGACAAGGGGTGTAGTAGACCATATTTATGTCAAGGCTTCAATGAAAAATATTGTATTACATATATATTTGTTTTTTTGTAAGACAGTAAAAGTACACATGGGTGACTGACCTGGGTCTTTTAGGCAGGACACTGAAGTATTAATATGTTCTATGATGTGTTAACATCAGTCATTAACATATTTACTGTTCAGTTCAGTTGTATTTTATTTATATAGAGCCAACAACAGTTGCTCAAGGTGCGAAAACGCCATCAGAACGTCTGTTTGTTAGAGCAGGAAATGTTGCATCCGACGTCGGGGCAAACCTCGGAGAATCCTGATAAGCTTGCTTTTCTTCATTGCACGTGTTTCTTTAAAGACTTTCACACAATGAAAAGACTTTCATTGTGTGAAAGTGGGCTTTCATCACAAGCCCACTTACACAAAATGCCCTCCAAGAAGAGTAGATGCAGTTTTACTTTGTGTCTTAGGTTTCAGTAGTTTGTGTGACTTATTTACTGTACTTTTGATTGTTTATTCTGAGACGTTTTTCTTTAAAAACAATACGTTTTTTATGGCAGGTGCGTGCAGTGCGAGCGCTTACCTGCCTGCGCAGACGTTGTGTGCAGTCAGAATATTAAAAACTTTGGTTTCCATTATAAAAAACTACAGTGAAAGACCTGTGGGTTTGTTTTTTTTGTCTTTTGAACACAATACATGATGTAAATTATTATTATGTATTATTTCTCATTAATAAGACAAAAGTATTTCTTATCCAGTTAATGGATGTAATAAGCACTAGGTTACCTGATTACTAAAATAATTGACTCCTGGTACCTTTTGTCAGTTAATAATCAACCTTCATGTTGTGCAGGGTATGGTGAGCCTCTCAGCGACCCGTCTCCTAAAGAGGCCCGCGTTTTAAAAGGAGACCCATGCTGATAAATGCCAGGCCTCGCCACACTCTCTGTCGTCTGCACAAACACAAATGCCTGCCTGCCCGTGGGGGAGGTCTGATTAAAGATATCCACATTTCATCCACTGGTATGTGTGAACACTTTACTGTCAGGCATTTGTGTCTTTTTCTAGTTACACTATGTCTGTGTTTACTTGGACCAATGTGCGTTTCAATCATCACAACGTTTTCTGTCTTAACTGAGATCGCCTCCATGTTACGTTAGAGCGTCAGTTACGGTCCAGTTTTGAACTTCTACAGCCATCGAAACTGCCTGATGTCTTACAGCTTAGCACGAACACTGACAAGACCATATGTTTCTGTCTCATAAACCTATGAAAAGTTCAGTGCAGGCTGTATGATGTGCTCGACATTAATGCAACATTGTGACTACAGTTGGCCAGATCTTACTTTGATCACCCGAGTCACATTAGGCCCGTGAGAGAATGCTGTTTACAGGACAGATTAAAGTTAATCCCAGAATATTACCGTTCCTGTGAACATTGTCTTTGGTATAAAAGGATAGAAGTACTAGTGCTGTACTAATCCTCTTGTTTGTTTACGTCAGCTTGGAGCCCCTGCTTCCTCATCCCAACCTTTCACTCTTAACTTTCCTACTCCTCTCTCCTCGCTCTGTCGGCCCAGGGCTGTGTCCCCCCTCCCAGCGGCCACCATGTTTTGGAAGTTTGACCTGCACACCACCTCCCACATTGACCAGCTGCTGGACAGGGAGGACGTGACGCTGAGAGAGCTGATGGAGGAGGATGACGTCCTGCAGGAGTGCAAGGCCCAAAACCGTCGGCTGCTCCTCTTCCTTTCCCAGGACCACTGCATGCAGGAGCTGGTCAGCCTCATCACCACAGAGCCACCTGCTGATCTGGAGGAGCGAAGCCGCTTTAAGTGAGAGCCCACACTGATGCTTAGACTGCTGGGAGAGTGGAGACATTACTTAAGAGTTAGATTAGAAGACTGGGAGCAAGACGAACACGAAGTGGAACATGCACCTATTTCCAAAGACAGATGTTGAGCCTATGAGTTGGACAATTAATTTGCCTTGATGTCAATTAGATACAAGCACCACAGTTAACTCACTTGTTCAGTTAATAATTCAGCTCATGGGTCACATGATAAAGAAATCTAACTCTCTCCACATACACAGGATTTATTTAGGATTTATGAACTTTATCAGGAAAATGCTGTTGTTGTTTGATATGCACGTGCTGGTATTTTATGATTAAATGCTCAAGTTTATATGTCCTGTTGTTTGAAAGGAACGCAGCAAAAAGAAACTTCCTGCTTTTTGCGTATATCCACTTTTTGCTGCTGTGATTAAATCCTCACACAGGTTGAAACTGTAACCCCATCACCTTCATTTTTCCTTCACTCATACTTGCAGTGATACTTTGAAATCTTTAGTTTGACACAGAGATCTGATCTTAACATCAGTCTGTTGTGTTTTTCCCTCTGCAAGGTTTCCCAATGTTGCTTGTGAGCTTCTGACCTCAGATGTTTCCATTATAAACGATAAGCTGGGTGGAGACGAGTCTCTCCTCGAGATGCTCTACCACTTCCTGGAACAGGACCCACCTCTCAATCCTCTACTAGCCAGCTTCTTCAGCAAAACCATCGGCAATCTCATTGCCAGGAAAACCGAACAGGTAACTAGTAAATGAGATATGAATTCCTCTCAGATTAAGCGAATCATTTAGGAACATTTGCACACACCAAAGTTTCAGAGAGTAATAGCAACTGGAGCAGGGGTGTTTTGTGGGGTCTGCTGAGTTTCCTGGGACTCAATAGAAATGCTCGTCCCCACTTTGGAAAGTCAGTCTGTTCCTCCAAAGGTTCCCTGTCCCGGAGGAAGATTCCAGTGAAAACATGCCTAGAGAGCATAAAAACCCTCAAATGTGAAAATCAAAGATTGACATTAGCTGTCTGTTAAAATCCACAGTCTTTCACATCGTGTCATTTTCCAGGTTATTACCTTTTTAAAGAAAAAAGAAGGCTTTATTGGTCTGGTGCTGAAACACATTGACGCCTCTGCCATGATGGACCTGCTGCTTCGCCTCATCAGTTGTGTGGAGCCTGCCCCTTTGAGACAGGATGTTCTGCATGTAAGCTACTGAAATAGCTCCTCTGAGTAAGCTCGAACCCGTCGAATGCTTTTAAGTGATCCGTTTCTTTTGAATCCTAGTGGTTAAACGAGGAAACGTTGGTTCAGAGACTCACAGAGCTCATCCATGCTGGCAAAGATGAGGAGGTGAGTGGGCGCAGAGCTCGCTGTGCTGGCCGAGTGTCGTCTCGATGTTGTCCTAATCATTTATATTGATGGGTTCCAATAATTCAATTGGATTATTTATTTTGCAGAGACAATCAAATGCGTCCCAAACGCTGTGTGACATCATCCGCCTTAGCCGAGATCAGGCCAGTCAGATGCAGGAGAACGTAGAAGCCGACCCACTATTGGCTGTGCTAGAATCGTAAGTCTGTGGAGCGCTTGTGTGTTTGTAGTAACGTACAACTCTCTGTAGGAACTGTGGGGGATAGCTTTCCCACATCACACATGCCTGCTCTTCCTGCTCTGTCCACACCACACACGGAAACACACCAGCGTCATTGTTGACTGTTGTTTGCTTAGTTCTTGACCTGAAATGGCATTAAAAGCCACAGGTTGTAGCATGTGTGCACACAGACCTGCTGGCAGAGCCTGTTTGACTACAGCTTTGATTTTGTGTGGGTGTGTGTCAGTTTGACTTTTGAAAATGCTTCCTTTTGCATCAGGAGCTAAAACATTGTTGCTAGCTGGTCTGTTAATGGTGCATAAATGTGTTGCAGGCAGGAGAGCGTGGCGGGGCTTCTCAAGAACATGTTTGAGGGGGAGAGGAGCGAGGCCTCCATCGTTAATGGAACTCAAGTGCTACTTACCTTACTGGAGACCAGGAGGTCTGGGTGAGTCCCTGCAGCTCTTAATCATTCAGGATGTAAATTGTGCTCATTTTGGTGTCTTCCTGACTCTTAAGTGACGTCATGTAGTAAATTTGTATTTTACTCGCCTCTCAGTCGAGACAGTAGAAAAAACCTGTCACAGTCACTGAGCTGATATGCTGATTGTCTCTGCTTGTGTCTGTCAGGTTGGAAGGGCTGATGGATCTGTATTCTCAGGGTTATGAAAGGTCTTACACTGTCAACAGCAGTATTTTAAATGCCATTGAGCCCCATTTAAAGGACTTCCAGCAGCTTCTTCAGGATCCCCCCAAGGTAAAGACTGCAGTGTAGTCAGAGTGTAAGCATGGTGCAGCCTGGCAGGTGGAGCCTTTGCACACTGTAGTCACTCAGCTGCATGTCCTGTAATGGTACTGCACTTTTCAGCGCTGGTCTCCTTTTCCAGTATTGTACAGCTGACGCTGCTGTTTTTTTAAATGTCATGTTATAGCTTTGACTTGATTTGGGGGCAGGGATAGCTCAGTAGGTAGAGTGGTCGCCCCATGATCGGAAGGTCGGGGGTTCGAATCTACCGAACGGCTACCCTCTGGTACCCCTGAGCAAGGTACCGTCCCTACACACTGCTCCCCTGTGCGCCTGCTCAGTGGCTGCCCACTGCTTCACTGAGTGAATGGGTCAAATGCAGAGAGAGTAATTCCCCACGGGGATCAATAAAGTATACATTATTATTATTATTATTATTACATTATTATTATTATTACATTATTATTATTATATTATATTATTATTACTATTATTACATTATTATTATTATATTATTATCATTATTATTACATTATTATTATTATTATTATTATTATATTATTATTATTATTATTATTATTATTATTATTATTATTATTAAAAAACAATGTCCATATGCTACTTTCACTCTTTCCTCAGAAAAGTGCAATATTGACGACCTTTGGCCTTCTAGATCAGCCACTGGGGAATGCTCGCCTTCATGTGGCCCGGCTGGTGGCTGCCCTGCTCCAGACCAATGCACCCAATATCTGCCAGGAGCTCTGTAACCTGGCCACCATGGACCTGCTACTGGTAAGGCTAACTTTTCTAGAAGATGCCGTTTGTATATTGTACACTGTTTTGGGAAATTGCATGGGATTAGTACGACGTTAGTCAAAAGGTTGGGAAGGACTCTTTACCCATCTGTGAAAGCAGGTTCAAATAACCCTGCCCTGCTGTACTGGGTCACGGTCACTGGTAAGGCTCCAGTATTACCAGCACGTGTTAAAGGGCACAGAATCAGCTGTTCGTGTTTTTTCTCAGTAACTTGCTAAAATGTTTAAAATGAAATGTACGTACTGGAAATCCTGTGTCTGCTTCCTGTAGGATCTGTTCTTCAAATACTCCTGGAATAACTTTTTGCACTTCCAAGTGGAGCTGTGTGTGGCCTCTATCCTGAACCATCCTTCCTCGGAGGAGCGGCCAGGCCTAGGCCTGCAGAACCACGAAGAGAGTGCCACAGCGTCCAGCCCTCAGGCGCAAGAGGAGGATGCGACAACAGAAGGGCCGAGCGACCCACAGACCTCCATCCACGGTGCGCTCGTGGCACATGTAAGTGGTTACGCACGTCCTGCCCTCATCACACGACACTGAAACATTTCCACAGAATCACAGCGCTCACATGTTGCTGTTTTAAACTCTTAGCTCTTCCAGAAGTGTCGACTGCTTCAAAGGATCCTTGATGCCTGGGAGGAGAACGATAGAATACAGTAAGTCTTCCTTCTGTAGGTTCCTGTGTTTTTCCTTACAATCAGTGCTTTGAGTTGAAGGTAATAAGGGTGTCTGTGAATGTCAGGGCTGATGGTGGTACCAGGAGAGGCAACATGGGTCACCTGACTAGAATAGCCAACATGGTGGTCCAGAACCTGGAGAAAGGACCAGTACAGACCCAGATCTCTGACCTCATCAGAGGTATTTATACAGTTGTTCAGTGTGGCTATTAAATCTTCCATTTTAACTGAAAATCATTGACCAGTCATTGCTTTTGCAGAGCTGCCAGAAGACTGCAGAGGTCGCTGGGAGAGCTTTGTGGACGAGACCCTGAGAGAAACTAACAGGAGGAATACCGTAGAACTGGTGAGTCCCTCCCACCAAATACCTGGCAGGTACAGCACTGTGCAGAAGTCTGAGGCAGGTGAGAAAATGCTGTAAACAAGGGATGCTTTCAAAACTGTGAGTGTTAATCATTTATTCTCATCAGTCAACAAAATGCAGTGAATGAACAAAAGAGAAATCTAAATCACATCAACGTTTGGTGTGAGTAGGGATGGGTATCGTTTAGGTTTTATCCGATACCAGTACCAAACCGGTGCTTTTGAAACGGTGCTTAAAGAATGGAAAACACAAACTTTGTCCAAAAACGTCTCATGTTTAACTGTTTTCCACTTTTTCTTTGGTCATTTTAGCCTTTTTG